GACCTTGCACTTGCCAGGCAGGCGCTTTTGCCGCTGAGCTAAATCCCCAGCCCCAACCTACTGTTTCAAAATACTAATTTTAGCTGGATGCAGTGGCACAAGCCTATAATCCTAGCTGTTTGGCAGACTAAGGCAGGAAGATCACAAGTTCAAGGCCCGGCTGGACAACTTAATGAGTGCTGTCTCAAAATAAAATTTAATCAAAGATTGGGGATGTGGCTCAGCACCCTCCCAGTTCAATTTACAGTGTTGCTTTTTTAAAAAATTAGTTTGTAATCTCATAATCCTTAGACATTAAAATAGTGATTGATTTGCTAAATGAAAATTTACTGATTTTATTTAGTTTTGAGGAGTAGTATATTTTATACATCTTTGTGCTGTTTATTTCTAATGAATGTTATCTTTTATCTGCTGGGAAGGACAGTATTAAGGAATGCTTGTGAAAACATAACTTAAGTAGAAAAAGTCACAAATACGTTTGTTTCCCACCAGTAGAAATAAAACACTGTGTGTGTGTATGTAATTTTTTTTGTTTTGCTTTGTCTTTTTGAGACAGGGACTTGCTATGTAGTTCAGGCTGACCTTGAGCTCACTTTGTAGCAAGTGCTGACCTTGAACTTGCAGCCATCCTCCTGCCTCAGCCTCACGAGTGCTGGGATTATAGGCATGTGCCACCACGCCCGGCTGTCTATAATTTTGGAATGGCATATTTATAAAATATTTACCAAATACAGTGTGGAACAACTTAGAATAGTGATTACATTTAGTTTTTCTTTTGATCCCTTTTACATAGTTAACGAAAAACTATGGGCAGTTTAGTTCTTTGTACAATTTTTACCTACGTGTTTGAATGTAAGAATAACTATGTACTTAGTTAATATTGTTAACTGTGGTTAATAACATAAGATGTCACAGTTACCTGTAAACATCTCCTATGCTCTTTTCTTACCTATTCAACAGTCTTTCTCTATATCTGGCCACCTCCAAGCATTTTATTTTTTGGTACATTTGTGAAAAGATGTAGGAGCAGAAGAGGATACAAGATTCTGCTTTTGTTCATACTTCAGCCCATTTAAACAGTTTTGTGACAAATTAGATCTGGTATATTGTTGATAATTAGTCTTAATACTATCTATGAGTTTTAGTTATGTTTACTTCCACTTAGCTTAATATAAATCTATATTATTTGCCTATTAAGGTAATATTTTTTATTTAAATAAATTTTTTAACTAATATGTATAAACATTAAAGTTGTACATAGTAATGGGGTAAGGTGATACTCTGATACATGTATACATTGTATAATGAAGGTAATATTTTAAAATTACAAGCTTGGTACCATCAGCTATGACTCTGATGATTCTTAACTTGTGTTACCAGCATATCAGTTAGTTATTGAATGGTCCCCATTACCAAGAAAATTTGGCTTTACTATTTTTTCATAAAATTATCTTTATTTTAGGCAAGAAGATGAGAATTTTAACAGCCTTTTGCACAATGGAGATATTTTAAACAATTCACCAGAGGAAAAAATCAAGGTTCATGATAAAAAAGATTTTAACTTTCCTGAATATGATTTAAATATCGAAGAACGATTAGTTCTAATTGAGAAAGGAGTTGACTCAACAGCCACATCTGATGAACCTCACAAATTAGACCATATCAATATGAACCTCAATAAACTTGTGAGTAATGATACATTTCAACCAGAGATACTGGAAAGATCAAAGACACAGGATATAGTGCTTGGAACAGGCTTTTTAAACAATTCTAAAAGGGAAGCTGAGCATTTGGAAAACGGAAACAGGTATCATAATTTGGAATCCATAAATAAGGCAAATGGACATTCTGAGGAAATGCCACAATCTCCTACTGGGACTGAGCCACAAGATACCGGTTCTTCTGTTGATGTAGGTATTTCCAAAAGCACTGAAGATCTTTCCCCTCAGAGTGGTGGTCCAGTTGGCTCTGTTGTGAAATCTCATAGCATCACTAATATGGAAACAGGAGGGTTAAAAATTTATGATATTCTTAGTGATAATGGACCTCAGCAGTCAAGTGCAGCAGTTAAAATCACGTCCGCTATTGATGGAAAAAATATAGTCAGGAGCAAGTCTGCCACACTCTTGTATGATCAACCATTACAAGTATTTACTGGTTCTTCTTCATCTTCTGATTTAATATCAGGTACAAAGGCAATATTCAAGTTTGATTCAAATCATAATCCTGAAGAACCAGATATAGTGAGAGCCCCTACAACAAGTAGCCCACAATCTACACCTCAAATGTATAGTTCTCCACAATATAATATCCAATACAGTAGCAATGCTGCAGTAAAAGACAGTTTGTGGCACTCCAAACAGAGTTCCCCCACAGATCCTGTTAGTTTTCCTCCTCATCGCCTTCCTAGATCAGAAAGCACAGAAAACCACAGTTACGCTAAACATTCTGCCAATATGAATTTCTCTAACCATAACAATGTTAGAGCTAATACTGCGTACCATTTCCATCAGAGACTCGGCCCAACAAGACATGGAGAAATGTGGGCCATCTCGCCAAATGACCGACTTGTTCCTAATGTAAACCGAACTACAATTCAGCGACAAAATAGTGTGTCCTCAGCAGCCTCTGTAAATCTTGGTGATCCCGGTTCCACAAGGCGTGCTCAGATTCCTGAAGGAGATTATTTATCATACAGAGAGTTACATTCAGTGGGAAGAACTCCTCCAGTGATGTCGGGATCACAGAGACCTCTGTCTGCACGAACATACAGCATGGATGGCCCAAATGCGTCAAGGCCTCAGAGTGCTCGACCTTCTGTTAATGAAATATCAGAGAGAACTATGTCAGTTAGTGATTTCAACTATTCACGGACTAGCCCTTCAAAACGACCAAATGCAAGGGTCGGTTCTGAACATTCTTTGTTAGATCCCCCAGGAAAAAGTAAAGTTCCTCATGATTGGCGAGAACAAGTACTTCGACACATTGAGGCTAAAAAGTTAGAAAAGGTAATTGAACATGAATTTTTTACTCTCTTTATGAATGTGTTTATTTTCCTTAAAAAAGCTTGCCATTCTTTATTCAAAGTAGAACACGATACTCTGGAATTATTGGATATCTACTTATATTGAAGTATTTCCGTAGTATAGAGAGCAGTTCTAAAAATAAACTTAGCCAAGACAGTTCAGATGTTAGTGTATATCTCTTTTGCCTTTCTTATTTCCTAGTATCTCTAATGGTCATATATTTGCCTTCTATGTTTTTCTGTATATCTCTTAGATTATACATGCATACTGTACTAGAAAGAATACCTGTGTGCTTCTGCTTAGCGTTTCGTGATCTGCTCACTACTAACATATATTGATTATGTAAATAGTATAAGAAAGTAGCAGGTTATAGTTAACAAAATAACAGGAAATATACTTACAAGGGTAAATATTTTGTGTAATTTTTTTCCCAGTTCATGGTATATGAACTAACATTGACACTGACTCAACATGACTTCTGGCATGGCATTGTTGACTTTTCTGAACTGCATTTCTGATCTTCTTGAACTTAGTTGAGTGCTTCTATGATTATACTACACCTTAGAAATTATTGTTTAAACAGCTGTTGCTCATGTGCAGTAAAGTTTTATGTGTAGTCTTTATCTTTTGAAAGGAATTCAAAATTTAAAAACAAAGTTATACTGTCAAATTGATAGTAGTGCCATAACCATGTGGTCCAAATGTGTTCAGTACTTCTTCATGATTTAGCTTTGTGTCTCACTGAATTTTACTCAGGAATTACTTTTCCTGTTTTTAAATCCAGTTGAACATACATTGTCTCAATTGGTCATTTTAAATTTTTTAATTTTTTAAGAAATAAATGCCTAAAAAATGATTGATTAGTTCTGTCGATTCATGTTAAATCTCAGCCCATAATTGTTAGCTCTTTTCAATGAGATTCTCAGCTTTAAATATGTGAATATCTATAAGCAGAAACTCCTTCATTCTCATCTTTTTCTTCGGTTGTAATTCTGTACACACTGTTGAGTCTATTTGACCTGGATGTTTTTCTCAGGAATATGGAAATTTTTTAGGCATAGAGGAGTTAACATAGCTCTGTTTACTAAATAAGCTGGTGGCAGTATGGAACTAGATCTTTTTTTTGGAATTAGATCTTATGGGGAAGAGGCTATATAGTGAGAGATTGAATTAAGAGATTGTTCAGTGATCCAAATAAAAGTGAATTTTTATCAATGGTTAACAGAGAAATAAATTCTAGAACTCTGAATAGACTTTTGAGAATTCATTTCTGCTTGAATATTGTGTTCCTGTAGTCAGTCTTTGAAGAAAAGGAATAAAGCTTGAGATTTGTGCATTAACTAATTGTTGGGAGTGCCACTATCACTGGACATAGATGAAGAGGAGCAGATTTGGAGGAAGAGATGCATTTGGTTATTGTATTCTATGTAGTCTGCATCTCAGATCACTACTTGCTTTCCGGCTTCCTCCAGTCTGACAGAGATGTGCCCTGGACTTCGGTAAATAGAAATCAAGTTCAGTGTGCCCCTCAGCTTTCGTTTTTCATTGCATAAAATACATTCTTTGAAATTTGCTCTACAGTGTCTTAGAGAATATATGACAGTTTTTGTATGTTTTTGTAAGTTTTTATGAGTTGTGTCTTTGCATAGTAAGCTGTCAGGACAAGTAACTTAAACTTCCTTTTATCTCATTTGCTTCATTTATAGAATAGATACAATGAAAAGAGTACTGTACGATTGTTTAAAAATTGAATGAATTATGTCAGGAGTGATGGCACATGCCTGTAGTCCCAGCATTTGGGAGGGTGAGGCAGGAGGATCACTGTGAGTTCAAGGCCAGCCTAGGCCACATAGTGAATTCAAAGCCAGCCTGGACTACATAGTGAGACCTTGTCTCAACAAAACAAAAAAATTTTTGAATAAATTGATACACAAAAACACTTAGAACATGACCTGGTATATCTTAATGATAGTGTTTGTTGCTTACATCCTCAGTGTAATTGTCTACTCAGATATACAAACATCAGCTAATTTCAGAAATACTTTTGATTAGGGAAACATATTGGTACATGCTTGGAATCCCAGTGCCTGGGAGGTTGAGGCAGGAGGATTACTTCAAGTTTGAGGCTGGTCTGGGCTGTATAGACTTCCTGATAGGAAAAAGTACCAATGAAATACTAATAGAGACGTTTAGCTGGGCTATATATTTATTTATACATGTACTTATCTGTATATATGCAAGTACATACAAGACTGCTAGAAAAAATAGAAATTTTAAAAGAAATCTGGTACCACAAGATAAAATTTAGTATATTAATAGTAATTATCTCATAGTGTTGAGATTTATGTTTTTTTTTTAAGATGAGATTTCACTGTATTTCTAGGCTGGCCCAGAACTCCCGGTTCAAGCATTTCCTTTCAGTCCTTATCAAGCAAATAAGACTGCAGGTGTGCACCATTGTACCCGACATGGGGATTTTAAAATACATTGCTGTTGTGTTTTAATTTGAAACTAATGATAAACACAAGAGTAATTACACAACATCAGACTATTCAAGGAGAGCATTACTTTTTAAAATACTGGTAAAGTTTTGATACAATAGATTAAGGTTAATAGATTAAGGTAAAATTTTTATCAGTAATTTTGAGAGCAGGGAAAGACAAAGACTTGAGTCTGGTTGAGTTAGGGAGTTCTTTTGAGAAAACTTGGTAATACAGTGTTTGGGCCATATTATGGATATGAAATGTCAGAATAACAGAATGTTTATTTAGTGCTTCCAAAGTGCTAGGAAGCTACACTGTACAGTGGTCTGTCTGTACAAATAGTTCTGAATTTTCACATAAGATCCATAAGCTATCTTTATTATCATATTTTACAGTAAGAACATTGAGGCACAGAATAGTTAAGTAATTTCCATAGGATATCATGATACATGTTAATATAGAGGAAAGGGAACAACTGAAACAGCCAGGATGATGATTTCAATTGGACATGGTAAACAGTGAGGAGCCAGATTTAAAGACAAGTATGATATTTAGCAAATGTGTTTAGGATAAATTGATGGGAGTTAGTTTAGGAAACAGTTTCAATTTTTAAAAATACAAATGATGCATAGTCAGGCTAGGATTGTGGCAGTAGAAGGGATAAATCTGAAAGACACTGACAGGAATATTAAAAAAATAAAAAAGTCCTAAACTTGGAGGGTGTGGTAGCACATCCTTTTAATCCCAGCACTCAGGAGGCTGAGGCAGGAAGATTTCAGCAAGTTCAAGGCCCGCCTCGGCTACACAGCAAGACCTTGGTAACTGTCTCAGAAAACCAAACTAAAAATAAATAAAAGTCTCAGTGGTAGGAGAGTATAGAGTCCTTAAAACAGTGTTGTACAGTATTGAGCAAAAAAGTAACTTGGGATTTTGAATGTAGTGAATTTGTGATGATAGTGTGTACACATAGCTTGGAACACAATTTGAAGTTAAGGTTAGTGATGCAGATTTGATACACAAACTGTACATGAGGTAGATTTTCTTATCAGAGAAATACTGAAAAAAATTAATAGTTTTAAGTAATTCTAAATTTCTAATGATGCTAGACACAGTTCTTATTCCAAAAGCAATTTGTTAAGGTTCTGTGTTTGTACACACAGGTCTCCAGCATTTTCCTCCCTGTCTCCTCTTAGCTGTTAGGAATTCGTCATTTTAAAGGCAGAGTGGTATGAACAGCCAAACATTCGTGTATAGATTCTACCTTTGTTCTTTTAATCTAGATCACTGGTTCTCAGATTTTGCCATGTTGGTTCTATAAATAGAACCATATGTGTATAGATTTGGGGTGGGATTTTTAACCATTTCATAATTTTTTAATTTAGCATGTAAATCTGACCTTAACCCCTACAAGTAATACTATATAGTTCGTTTAATTTGCCTGAGAATAATTTACTATTCTGACACTGTCCTCCCATAAAGTCATTTCATTCAAAAAACAAGATTTTTAATATTGAAGCATAATTTGTATATTAAAAACTAATCTTTTTTATTTCTGTAAGCTCTCAATACATTTAGAGAGCTTTTTTTAGGAAAAAAAATTTTTTTTTTTTTTGATGTGGGGGTCTAGCTGTATAGCCCAGGCTGGCCTCGAATTTGCAGCAGTCCTCTGCCTTAGTCTCCCAGGTGCTGGGATTACAGACCTGTGCCACCAGTCCTGGCTCGAGATACTTTTTATATATTAGAAAACATTCTAAAAACTTAACTATGAATCTGAAATTTCCCTTTTTTGTTTATAGAAACTACCTTGTGTTGCACTCTTGTTCTTACTCATTTAATGTGGGAATCAGAATGTATGGGCCCATAGGCATATTGAATGTCACATAATGGCAGCATGATTTAGACTCCAAATTTCAAAGCTTTGGTTCAAAGTAGTGGTGCATAATAGAGAACCAGCGCATTTATTGTGGCAGAGTGAGCATTTGAAGTCCCCCCTACCCCACCCAGGGGATTTCACAAGGCCTTTACTACCTTGTGAGTATACAAATTAAAAATGGCATAGCTGGGAGTTTAGTAATAATAGATAACGTATTGAAGCTTAAATGTTCTTTAAGGCATGTAGTAGTCATTCCTACCCATAAAAATCATACCTGGAATCCAGACAGAAAATAGAACTCACTTTGAAAATCTCCAGCCTTTACTTAACTCAGCCAGTAATGAAGATTTGGAAAGAGCTGGGTGTGGTGGTTGCACCCTTGTAATCCCAGCACCTGGGAGATGAGGCGGGAGGATTGCTGGGGTCGAGGCTACTCGGGACCACATAGTGAGTTCAAGGCCAACTTGACTTACGTAGTAAGACCATATCTCAAAAAACAAACAAAAAAAGGCTTGAAATAAAACATTTTTACTTCAAAGTTGAATTATGACTAATATTAGCAGTTTCTAATAGTCCCTCCTGAGGTAATGATACACTTCAGATTATAATATTAGAACAACATAATGCCATGTTCACAGTTTGTGTTTTTTGGTGCTGGTGGTTAAACCCAGAGACTTGCTATCCACTGAGCTAGACCTCCAGTCCTGTTCATTAGTCGTCATACAGATATCAGTGTGTAGTGACCAGCATTGCCCAGGATATTATGCATAATGTTTAATTGTGTAGTGTGTTGTGACAGGGTGCACCTTTAAGTCGATACCTGTGTACAAGTTTGAATTCAAAACCAGACCTGTCTTGAACTTGAACTTTATTATTGAGTGAAATATTGACAAATAAGCTTACATATGTTCCAAAATGACAAAGAAAGCTTTAAGATCTGCACATCATTAAAAAAGGGTCAATCAGGCCAGTCAAGTTAACCTGTGAAAGCTCTGTGTATAACAGACAAGTGTATGTTATTTATGTAAGTTTGTGTCTGTGAAAGATTTCATATTTACATTCTAATCAAAGGTTCATGGGTCCTCTAAATTGCCTCTGCTAAATCTTTATCCTTGGTAATGAAATAGTTTGGGAGAAATGCATATCTGGGCCTTTAAGTTTAGCCTTTTCTTTAGTCATTACTTTAGAATCCACAAAAGAATAATGTATATGGTAATTTTATAGATATTTCTAGAGTCCTATATTATTTCTTGGTATTAGATATTAACCTCAAAAATCTAAGGAAGATACTTATTTCCTAAGAGTAATAATCTATAAACAACCAGGCGTGGTGGTGCGTGTCTGTTATCCTAGCACTCGGGAGGCTGAGGCAGAACCATCGCCATGAGTTCTAAGCCAGCCTGGGCCACATAATAGGCCTTATCTTTAAAAAAATTTTTTCTTTTAATATGGTGGTTGTGATATTTCTGTGTTTTAATGGCAAGCTATGCACAAAATGTGCTTTCCCCAGTTTAAGCATTAAGCCTTAAACAGTCAGGGACATGATTAAAAGCATCCACAGGAAAGAGCAGTTGTTAGCAAAGCTGGTAACGAAATGGGACAGTGAGAATCAGGCAGTGAATTTATTGAGGTAGGTCTTGGATTCTGGGTTCTTTTTTTTTTTCTGGTACTGGGAATCGAACTCATGACCTTGCGCTTGCCAGGCAGGCGCTGTGCTGCTCAGCTAAATCCCCAGCCCCTGGATTCTGGGATTGATGAATAGGCTGTTCATGTTAACTCAGTCAGTGGGAGGATTCCTTAGTGGCCCTGTAAGTGTAAGCTGCAGAGGCACAGCTAATTTCCAAAATGTAGGTAGTACTGCTTAAAATCTGTTTATTTGAATACAAAAATTTTGTTGCGTTTTCTAGATTTTTTTTTTCTTGTACTTATAGAGCAGCAGAGCGCATTAAAAGTTATATCCTAAAATTGTGGGCTTATGTTAAACTTCTCTAACGTAAGATATTGAACTAAATGTGGAAGACAGTTTCTAAAAAAAGTTTTAAATGGCCATCAGATATTCTTCATGGATACATTTTGTTGTATGCATTTTACTATCAGGTTATTTAAAAGATATAATTAATATTTATAGAATGAAAGGAATGCTAGAAATTCATCTGACTTAAAATTACTAGTTGTTGGTAAAATATAAACAAATTTATGACTATAGATACACATATATGTAAAATCATCAGTTTATATTTTCTGACATGTATAATTTGTTAGAGGTAAAGGAAATGATAGCACTTAATACTTTCTTTCCTTGGTGCTCAAACATGTGAATGGTTGTATTTAGCTGTAGTTTATGTGCATGTGTGTGTTGTCATGTAAATGTGTGGTGCAGAGGGCCAGTTTCTTTCAGTGGCTCTGAAGATTCAGTGTTACATGATGTTTCTGTGGAGTATCATCAGGTGGGGCTAACTTGTGAGTAAACCTACATACATAACATGTCTTGTGGATTTTGCATGCTGCACTAATCTCTGTTAAATCTGTCCCCTCTTTATTCAGAGCATGCTGTCAAGGTCCTTTAATTCCAATTTCACTGCTGTCAGCAGCTCTCAGTATGGCAGCTCTAGGGATCTACATGGCAGCCAGGGCAGTCTTGCCTTGAGTGTTGCAGACGGAAGAGGTTCTGGTGGGCACATTTTTCAAGTGAGTACCTGCAGTAGACCAATACTGTCAGTGAATAGAAGAGAAAACTCAACATTTTAAATGATCTAATGTTTTTAGAAAAAAAGTTTACTGTGGGTTAGAAATCTTGATTTCCTCTGAGTTTCTTCCATGGCTTACTTCTTAAAATAAGCTTTATTGCTTTCTTTGGCCGTAAGCTAATCGTGTAGTCCGACTGCCTAAGAAGGGATGAATAATAGGCATAACTTTTTAGAAAAACTATTCTTTGTGGTTTTCTTTTGCTATTAAAATTAGTTTCCTCTCTCTAACTCATGGTTATTTGTTTTGTTTTGTTTTGTTTTTTGAGACAAGGCCTCACACTGCAGTTCAGGCTGGCCTTGACCTTACAGCAGTCCACCTGCCTCACCCTCCAAGTGCTGAATTATAGGAGTATGCCAACACACCTGGCCTCTAACTCAGGAGTTTAAGGATATGCCATATGTATCCGATATAAGGGAGATACTGTAAGAAAGGATAATTTTAACTGCAGTATCTGAGAATTGACTAAAATGTACTACATGTACTTAAATTTAATCATATTTCACTGAATGATGAAGTGTGAGACTGAAGATATTATAATGAATACCAATGAACAGGCAAAACCCAAATCATTTGTTACCCACATATGACCATAGTCTTTAGTAGTGAAAAAGATAAATTTACTATTTTACTGAAAGTTTATGCTTAAGACATAAGAATTGCAGAGGGAGAGAAAGAACAGAACAAGTCTGCAGCTCAGTATTTAGAGTTTCTTTCTGTAAGAACTTACAGTAGTAGTGTGACCTCTGGATTACTATTTCTTTTTATCCTAAAAGGACCTTTCTCCCCTTATAACACTGTCTTATTCCTCCCATAGTTTTGTTTCCATTTTGACTGTGTGTCCTTTTGGGCTCTGTCCTTATTCCTGAGCACTCCTGTTGTGCCTCCTCCCACTTCAAGTACATCCTTGCTTTTTCTCTGTTGTGTTCTAGAGTGTAACAATAGTGTCTCCCGGACTCACTTGCTCTGGATGTACCTAATCAATCTTACCCAGTGCTCTGTCACATACCATCACTCGGTATCTGTGCTATTACAGTCATTTGAAATAGGAAAAATACCGTATTGTACTGTGCTGTTGAAAGAACAGGAGTTTTTTTGTTTTTGTTTACAAAAAACACCCAATTTTTTAGTGCTCTATAGGAATCTATTTTAGTTAACTCTATATGTGAGACTGTTGGTTTGGGGATGTAGCTCAGTTGTAGAACATTTGCCTAGCATTCTTGAGGTCTGGGGTTCCTACCCCTAGCATTTAAAAAAAAAACCCTATTAACTTCGATTAATAACTAAATTTATTGCTGGCAGATGTTAAAATATAGGTGTTACTGTAAATGAAACAAAAAAGAAAAACACATAGTATTTGTCTTCTCCACATGTGCTTAAAAATTAAGACGCTAACTATGTATCCATATAAAATTATTGCACTTATAAAAACAAACATCTTTCCATGTGTCTTTGGAACAAGTTAAAGGTTCTGATTGATGATAGCCAATGATTATAATATTGTATTTGGGCCTTCATTTTTCTGCTATCTAGCAATATATTTTTCTAATCTTCTCTCAAGTGTCATCATTTTGGTTTCACATCTTACAGGGTACTATTTGTTTACTTTTTTATTTCCCCCTCATTTGAAGCATCTCCAGACATCCAGGCCAGGAGAGTCTTGTCAATATATTCATTTCAGAACAGCAGAACTACTCATCAGCTACACTTAGTCACAAAGATGTTCTTCCAGACAGCTTGAGGAAAGTCGATGCTTGATGAAAGCAAGAAATTAAGTAGTACCTTAGAACTTTCTATGTTTTGCAGCCTTTGAGCTAGAAATCCCATGTGCGCTTTAACTGAAAATAGTTTTGTAAAGCTTTTCTACCTTTGTGAGGATTATTTTTAAATAATTCAGAAATACAAAAGAGAATTTGAGCCGGGGATATAGCTTAGTGGCACAAGCACCTGCCTGGCAAGTGCAAGATCCTGAGTTCTATTCCTGATACCAAAAGAGAATTTGACTCTGGTATTCCTCAATTTATTCCATTTTTATGGTTGCATTTGTATTTTTATAGTACCACCTATTACATAATGTGAATGAAAGACTTTTTGGCATTCTTGACTGTAAACCTATCTGGAGACTTACTGCATTCCATGTATATTTTTAACACTGATCTGGGCAAGACCAAGAATCCATGCATCAGGGAGTCTTAAGAATAGGTCAAGGGCCAAGCGTGGTGGCACACGCCTGTAACCCCAAACCAGGAAGTAGGGGCAGGAGGATCGCTGTAAGTTCAAGGCCAGCCTGGGCTACAGAGTGAGTTCAAGGCCATCCTGCACTACATAATAAGACTGTCTCAAAAAGAAAAAAAATAGGTCAAGGGGCAGAGGATGTATTAAACTTTTCATTCTAGGATCTCGTACAGTTACAAAAAACATTTAAAAGTTAAGTTAATTAGAAACCTTCTTGAAAGACTTCTGTGGCTGGACATGGAGGCACAGGCCTATAATCCCAGCAGGAGGATCACTGAGAGCTCAAGGCCAGCCTGAACGACATTGTGAGAACCTGTCTCAAAAACACCAAAAAGAAAAAAAAACAAAAAACCTTTTGTATATGTAGAACAGATGATCGTTGTATGTTTAGTACTTCTGTAGAAAAACAGGTAGCACCCATTTAGAAATACATTACTTGTTCTCTGTGCTTTTATAATAGTATTTCAGATTCTCTCTTTCTTGTTCACTCTTCCCCAACTCTCCCAACAGAATCTCGTTGGTAGCTTAGCCTGACCTCAAGCTTGCTGTTATAGCACAGGCTGGCCTCAAACTCAAGATCCTTCTGCCTCAGCCTCCCAAGTGCTGGGATTATGAAAGAGTGCCACCAGACCCCACTATCTTTCTCATTTTCTTAACTAATTATATGCCTGTAATACAACTAGATATAATTATGAAGCATATTTATTACATAAAACCTTGCATTGTTAAAGAGAGTAGGTACTCAATTGTCTAATAATACAAGTTCATGCATACCTGTTTATTTTCCCCTTCTTTATTTTAAATGAGCACTGTCATCCAGGTTCTTTTTCTTTTTAATATACATTTTATGGTAGAAGTTACTAACCTTGTTTTATGCTTTTTTAATCCCCTGACCCATCTGCTAATTACAGCTTAATGCATTTCATGTGTATGTTTGACACTGACCCAGGCAAGACCAAATATCCAGGTGTTGGGGAGTCTTAAGAATAGGTCAGGGAACTGGGGACATAGCTCAGTGGTAGCGTGCTTGCCTAGAATATGCAAGGCCCTGGATCAATCCCAACACTGCGTTAATGAATGAATAAATGAGTAATTGAAGATAATAAGTCAGTTGTAATTGTCTGAATTTTTCTCAGGAGAAAAATATTGAATATGAACATAGGAATAAATGGTGTAAACATAGAGAAAAGCACATGCTCCCTTCAGAATTATAGGTAATAAAGCAACAGCACAACCAGTTAATTATCCGTGGGTTGATCAGTTGCTTCTAAATCTGCAGTGATCAAGTCACCGTAGTTTTAAAAGTAGTTGAATGATACAGTATCTCCTTTGTTCCCACTAATAAAAAATTTGTCAGAGTATTATTGTCCTTGTGCCTTGTCATAAAGCACTCAGGTATTTTTTTAGACTTAAGAATTAACGAAGTTCTTAAGTATTAAAAAAAAAATGGACAAATTTTCTTCTTCAAAGCCAGAATTGGGGCTGGGGATTTAGCTCAGCAGCACAACGCCTGCCTGGCAAGTGCAAGGTCGTGAGTTCAATTCCCAGTACTGGAGGAAAACAACAACAACAAAAAAGCCAGTTTTCTACTTTTGGATAATTTCAGGAAATGGGCTCACCTATTTCCTATATTTATAGTTTTCTGCTAATTTCCTTATGAACATGGCAACCAACAAGGAAGTTGTAAATGACTGACTGGCTTAAACATTTATTTCCTCTTCACAAAAATCTTTTACATACAAACATTTAGACTACGAATGTAACCTCTCATTTTTCAGTTAGATTCCTCATACTAACAAGATAGACTGTTAGCTATATTTATACAAAGTCTATTTTGTATTTTAAGTCTAAAATTCAGGTTCAACCTGTAAATATAAGAGCTATTAAGGAATTTCAGTGTTTGATTTCGCAGTTAATAGTCTATGGAATTTAAGATTTAAAGAATTTGAAAATGACATGTTTCATACACACAGATAAATATAAGAAAGAAATCTGTTCTGTACTACATAGATAGCTGAACTGATTTATTAATTCTGGAAGAACAAGAATGAAGGTAGAAAAATACTGAGACTAGGAAATATTATACTGCAAAATTAATTTTTTTCCTGAGGAAAACATCAGTAAATGTACTTTTGTGTATGTGTTTTGATAGGACAAGGGTGGACCTTATAGTAGTAGGTTTTAATTTTAAAAATTCAGTGTACTGTTCACTGTTTCAATGTTTGGTTATTGTGAGAAAGAGGAATATGTATATCTAACAGCAGAGCATGTAATTTGGAATGTAGCAATAACAATCAGCAAGCACTCAAATTTAGAATTAACACATTAATAGCCTTTTTTCTTGTAGGCTTTAGAATTAGAGGAAAATAGTGACATAGTATTTTGTGATTTAGAATGTTAAAACTAATTTTTTTGTAATGCTCCAAGAAGAAAATCCAAATATTTGTAATACCACATTATTATTAGTCATTTTAAGATACTTCATGTTTTTCTTAGATGCCTTTGAGTAATGGACAGATGGGCCAGCCTCTCAGGCCTCAGGCAAATTATAGTCAAATACATCACCCCCCTCAGGCATCTGTGGCAAGGCATCCCTCTAGAGAACAACTAATTGATTACTTGATGCTGAAAGTGGCCCACCAGCCTCCATATACACAGCCCCATTGTTCTCCTAGACAAGGCCATGAACTGGCAAAACAAGAGGTAAGAAAAACCAAGATTATTTGAAATATGAGACTAAGCTTTTCGTGTGTTCTTATAGGTTAATTATTAGCAATAAATCCATGTAGAATTTTAACATAGTTTTTACCATCTTGTTTAAAGTTACAGTTTTCTGTTCAGTTTATAGAGTATCACATGATACAGTTTTAGCTTATGATCATCTGACATAAGATTTAGTATTTTGGGCAGTTTTTTTAGCAGTAAGACAATTGCTTTACAGGAAGTAAGTTGAAATGATTTACTATTCTGTGATAATTAAACCCTTAGATTTTAAAAGTTGACTATAGTTAGTCTCCAAACTGCTTTGAGTGTTTATTTGTTCATTTATTTACATTTATATTGAAACAAGGTCTCACTATGTAGTTCAGTCTGGCCTTGAGTTCACTATGTAGCCCAGGCTGATCTTGAACTCTGAGAGATCCTCCTGCCTCAGCCTTCTGAGTGCTGAGCTAATAGGCATGTGCCACCATACCCAGCTACTTTTGAGTATTTATTCTTAAAATGCTTTGGGTCATGTATTCATAAATCTTCATAGTTTATTGATAAAATGATTAATAATAAAGGCATAGAGGTCAAATACTTTATTCATTTTGGTTGAATATTTGGTAAAAGAGAATATCCTATAACAAAAACTTAGATCTTGCTTTTTTTTTTTTTTTGGTCTTTTTTTGAGACAGGATGGGTCTCGCTATGCGGATCAGACTGGCCTTGAGCTTACTTTCTAGTCCATGCTGGTCTCAAATGTTGCAATGATCTTCCAGCCTCAGTCCCTGAGTGCTGGGATTACAGGCGTGCACCACCACGCCCAGCTTTTTACATTTTTTTAATAGCTAGGTTATAGAAATTACTATCAGTTGATCAGATTTTAAAGTTAAACTCCTTTGAAGCATATGAACAGATTGAGGAAATTAGGAATTTGATATAATCAAAGAATCATCACCTTACTTTGAGATTTAATCTGTCCATGTTAATTGAGGAAAACAATATCTTTTGAAACAAGCCAGTAGGCAGAGATACTCTGTAATTTAAATGTTCCACAGCTGGAAACTGATGATAATATACATGTTTTATATTTATGAGCTATATCATAAAATTCATGCTGTCAGAAAACTAAAATAGGGTCAGTATTAATTGATTTCCCATTTTCATAAGTGATAAAGTTAGGCGCTATGCTTTATAATCCCACTTTGCCTTTAACTCACTAACTCATTAACATAATATTCTGTTATAGTTTCAGTTCATCTGCCCAGATGTTTATTTTTGATGAGTCCTTATTTTTTGCTTGAACTTCACTCACCAGTATTTAAATGTGGATGTTATGTTGTAAACTTTCCTGAAATAGTAATAAAATAAGTTTCCTTTATTTTCATATTAAATCAGATCCGAGTGAGGGTTGAAAAGGATCCAGAACTTGGCTTTAGCATATCAGGAGGTGTCGGGGGTAGAGGAAATCCATTCAGACCTGAGGATGACGTAAGTTTTGTTCCTATATCCTTAATCACTCACAATGCTTCATTTATTAATTCAGTACCTAGAAATGAAACTACACCTGCAAGTGAAAATATAATAGGTACTTGTATAAATCTAAGAAGGTATCTGTTTTTATTTTCTTCTGTATTGTTCACCTTGCTTTGAAATTTAATCTGTCCATGTTAATTGAGGAAAACAATTAACTAAAATTTTTAAATGTTCTTTTTACTATCATGGCAGTTTTAAAATTCAACTTAAAAATTTGACTTAAAATTTTCTTACTGCTTTTCCATAAATCTATCCAAGTAAATTTGTCATTGTAACAGAAATCACTGTGTGAAAGCCAGAATTACTACAGGCAAAAATAACTGGGTTGGCACTGTGTTACAAAGTCAGGAAGGAGGTTGTACCATGATTCAAATATTAGGGTGGTATGGAATATTTGCCCCTTTTTACTCTGTTACGTGTGCATACTGTTTTTGGTTAAATAATGACCTTTTTTGTTGTTGTTAAAGGGTATATTTGTAACAAGGGTACAGCCTGATGGACCAGCATCAAAATTATTGCTACCAGGTGATAAAATTATACAGGTAATTAAGATAATTTCTAAGTTATTTCCTTTTATAACACGTATGGTTTTATAATTTAAAATATTTCTACTTCATACCTTCAGAACCATGCTTATGTGTTTGATACAGCTTTTTAAGTTCGGGAATGTTAATTTTACTAATTTAAGGGGTCAGAAAGAATACCACTTGTTGGAGGTAGGTTGTTACCGTAGGAAAATAGGAAATTTTCAGAATTTGAGTAGTCCTTTTTATTTTCCCATGTCCTTTCCTCTCTTCCTTCAGTTTTGCCTAACCACATGCAGTATAAGAGGAAAATAAGCCTCAAGCTCAAAAATAGCTTCTCTTCCTTTACATCTGCCTTTACTGTTCAGATAGCAATAAGAAATAAGTAACCGTCAAACCAAAAAAATAATACAGACCTCTAGAGTAAAGTGGCTGAAAGTACAGACTATGGAACCAAACTGCCTGAGTTGGAAGCCTGGGTCCAATGCTTTTAAAAATATAATCTAAATGTTTTTTGTTAATTTTTAATTTCAGTTTGGAATAGCTGCAAAAATAGCCGGGCATGGTGGCACATACCTGCAGTCCCATCACTCTGTAAGGCTGAGGCAGGAGGATCACAACTTCGAGCCCAACCTGGGCAACATAGTGACCTCGTGATGAGCAACTTATGATTAGTGGCTCAGTATAAACGCCCTAAGTTGAATTTCTAGTACCACCAAAATAAAACCCTGCAAATAAAATAGTGTAACGTCTTTGTAAACTTCATTTGGTCACCAGTTGCTAATATGTTGTCACATTATCTCTAGAGTTTATCATCTTTTTCTCCTTTCCTCCCCCTCTGTACATATGTATATTCATTCATGCATATTTGTTTTCTTAACAGTCAGAATTTATGGGTTTTTTGGTTTGGTTTGGTTTGGTTTAGTTTAGTTTAATTTGATTTTTTTTGAGACAAGGTCTCACTATTAGTTCACACTGGCTTTGAACTCAGTATGTAACCCAGGTTGCCCTTGAACCTGTGGTGGTCCTCCAGCCTCTGCCTTTGGCGTCTGGGATTACAGGCATGCACCACTACACCTGGTGAATGTGTGATTTTGATTTGGTGACTGAAGACGTTACTTTACCTGTCCATTCCTGGGTTTTCTCTGAAATAAGATGAAAAAAATCTCTTGAATGTTGTGATAATCAACAAATTTAATTCATACTAAAACACTTCAGACCATGTGTCTGGTGCAAGTAAGATCTCAGTAAATGCTATCCTTAATTTTTAAAAATCTAGGGGTCTGTCTTATTGAAGATAATGAGAAGATTAGGCTTGGGCCTCTCTTACCCTTGCAGTTTGTTCTTCTAGGGTGCACATCAGGGCATATACACAGCACCCTGTCTGATGCTGTCTTAGACACGCAGTTCCTAACATTGGACTGCTACATCAGGATAGTGTGATAACTTGGTCAAAGTATGGTTCCTGGTCTCTGTCTTGAAATTTTATTTCCATAGATATAGGGTAGAGCCCATTAGTCTATATGTTGTTTAAATTGCCAAAGTGATTCTTTTTTTCTGCCAGCTTCATGAAGTGTACCTAGCAGAAATTTAAGTACAGAAATGCAAATAAATTACTATGAAAAATATTTCTTAAAAACATTTTTCTTTTTTTTTTTAGGCTAATGGCTACAGTTTTACCAATATTGAACATGGACAAGCAGTGTCCATGCTAAAAACTTTCCAGAATACAGTAGAACTCATCATTGTACGAGAAGTTTCCTCATAAACACTGTGGACAAAAAAAGAGGGGAAGGACAGCAAGATTTATTGGAAGATACTTGCAGGGGATATTAATATTTTGACTATTTTTATATGTAAAGAAGAACTCAATTCTGTTCAAATTTGTACATTAATGAAATAATGAAGCTTAAGGTTAGAGGGAAAGAACCACTGTACAGAAGATAAAGGAGACTGTTGAATTCATACCATGTAAAACTTAGGTTTTTAAACATAGCAATCAAGGCTACAAAAACAAACTTATGTTGGTTTTGTATAGATTGTAGGTTTATTTTTGGATTTCATATACATGACTGAACTGTGCAAGGCACTAGTTAGCCTTGATTGTAGCCCAGAGACAGATGGCAGAGCTATCTCTCTCACAGCTTTTATGCCCTTATTTTTATTCAACTTTTGTTAATGTTTTTCTGCGGAAACTTCTTTTTTTTTCAATGTGGGCAAGAGATTTGAAGTGTTGGCTTTTGCTATGTGCATACTGAATTGAAGAGTGAGTAGGTGAAGGTGGTGCTGGTGGGTTCACTTTCCAAGGCCAGATTAAAACAGTTTTTTCTTATAAAAATCTGGAAGCAAAGAGTGAAAAAAAAGCTGATACTGTGTTTTTATTAATAGAATAATGCAATAAAATATGTAACGTCTTTTTAAAGAAGTAAAAAGACAATAATTGCATTTTATGAGCTCTACAAGGTCCATTGTCATAGCCATTGATTATACATTTGCTACTGATGATTCAATTTTTAATTTTTTAGTCACAGGAAATTTTTAACTACTGTAGATGCATGTCCATGCATTCCTCATGCTATGGAAATCTCGATTTTTTTTTTTTTTTTGGTAAATGGTGATCTTGCAATTGGTTATAGTTAGTGCTCCATTTTAATCTAATTACTGTTTTGTTTTAAAACAGCAAATGGAACTAAAATGTCCAGTTTTAAGATTGTGCTGCCTATAAACACAACATGTAAGAAGGATCAGGAAAGCCTCTTGATTTTTATTTGACTGTGAATCGCCTTGGTAAAGTAAAAGGAAACATGAAGTACGTGTGGAGCTAGGAAACCAAAGCAAGTCTGTGAAACTGGCACAGTGATAGAAAATTGCTGTGGAGAGTTGTAGAACAAAGGGATGGGTCCTTGAGGCCTACCAGTGTGGAAAGTGTTCAGATAAAGGGCTGTTCCTGTAAGTAACATTAAATGTGAACTTAATGCTTTAGAGTCTTTAAAGGGTTTCTAAATGTATCCTTGTAATAGTGTTTTGCCACCAACTGCCTTTGTTCTAGTTACTGTAAGTTACAAGTGTTTGATGATACAAGTTTATTAATTTTGTTTGCCTAAACCATTAATTTTGTTTTTGTTGTATGTAATCAAATAAAATTTGAGTAACATACAATGGTAAGAATTAATGCATGGTTATTTGGACCAGAAAAAAGTGCCATAGAAGACCAATAACTGTTTTTAGCTGAGGCTAGTCTAAAGCTTTTTATTAGAGCCATGTTCAGTTCTTCCACTCATTTTTAATTTCTAAGAAATATACTTAGGAAAATTTTAATGCTACCATTTTTCTTTTAAGACTTGTGTAAGACTAGCTGAAATACCAATCTACACTGTTTCTGGAAAAGTGAGTAGGACTCACTTTCTAGTCAGAGTGAATAGATAGCACTTTTAAAAACATGTGAATTCAAATATTGCACATCTTTCAAGATGTTATCAACTGGTTTTTGTACTGTATAGTTTTAATAATTTTGATTGAAACCCTTTAACAACTCTTTGTAAGTTTTAACACATTTTAGTTGATGCTCAGTAGTATTTACATGGAATTGATTTTTATGGATATAGTAGAAGAAATGTGCTGTATTTTGGTAAAATTCACTTGTATGTGTGTTGTAATCTCTAAAAAAGAATGACAAACAGCTTCGTTAAGACAAGTCTCGGCGTTCCCTTTATTGTGTTGATTTTTTAAGAAGTTGGCTTTGTAAAATGGTCACATTCTAATTTTATTAATTTCAAATTTTCATGATCACATTTAACTTTTTATTACAAATATATAAAATAGTTCCAAAATTATAGTTTTGGAATAGGAATTAAACCTCACAAAGAATTGATTCTTCAGTGATCTACCTTTAAATTTATTATCTGCATACTATCTCAAAACATTATACATATAACAGAACTAGTATTGTATTCCATTCTAGTTAATTGTAAAATTTTGTAATGTTCTACAACATGTAGAGTTAAAGTTTATTACCAAGAAGGATAATACATGCTATAATATAAAAAGAAAAAAGAGGAAAAAGGTTTTGTACTTAATGGTCAAAGTTTTTTTTTCCAAAATGTTGGAAAATTAAAAGTAAAAGATAAAAACTTTCATTAGAATCTCTGTTATGGTAGTAACCAACTTTCAAAATTCAATATATAATTTAAATCTTTTGAAGAAATGGAGAAGACAATTTTAGGAGTTTTTTTCCCCCTGCCTAACTGCAGACAGTTTAGTTTGTGTTCTCTTGTGTTCTCAAATTGTAGTTAAGGCCTGTGCTCTTAAGTGATTCACTAAGTATTATGTAGCAAATTTTCAAAACCAAAACTGCCTTCTTTTAAAACTTTTTAAAATTTCTTACCCTAAGCAGTACTATTTTATACCAGTAAAAATGATATTGATCAAAGTAATTTATTCAGTATTGAATTAGTAACACAAACTAGTTCTTTGTTGATTCATTAAGGAATCATCAGTTCATCTGAATTAGTAGTCTTTTAAAATTCTCTATATTTATCTTGTAAATATTTTTCTCATCTCTTTGGACTGATCTTGAACATGTATATATACTTGACAAATTCTTTTGAACACAAACAGAACTTGCTGTACTTTAAAAAAATCACATTAGCAGCTGTGTAATATTTTTATCAGCATCTATTCAACATTCCAAATTTTGTATATATCTAGATTGTTTGAAGTAACACCTAGAGGGTAGAAAATAAAAGAGTGGTGTTTTAAGTTGTGTGGTTTATTTTATGAAATTCTTAGGTAGTGAAATTCTCATAAAAGGAAAGGTACACAGCTATATATATATAGTTTTTTAAGTATTAACATGCCTTTATTTCTGAGTATGGAAAAAGTATAGTTTTTTATTTCTAGAGGAAGTTTTTAAGATGGGAAATGTTTTCACATGGAGATAATAAATCAGATCTATTTGGAAAGGAATTTTTTCATTCACTATGTGATACCTATTTGTTTTTTTGTTTTTGTTTTTGTCTTTTTGAGACAGGGTCTCGCAGTTCAGGCTGGCCTTGAGGACACTTTGTAGCTCTGGCTGGTCTTGAACTTGCAACAGTCCTCCTGCCTCAGCCTCCCAAGTGCTGGGATTACAGGCATGTACCACCAAACTTGGCATGCATCTTGAAATATGTTCTTTGAAAAAAAACAAGCCAGGTGTATGCCTGTAATCCCAGCATTCAGGAGGCTGAGTCAGGAAGATCACTGAGTTCAAGACCAGGCTGGACTACAGAGCAAGACCTTGCCTCAAAAAAGAAAAGTTCTTTTTTTTTTTTAGTACTTAGTAAATAGATGCATTATGAAAAAGTAACAATTAAAGTAATATTTTTATTTCAAGAATATTAATGATCAAAAAAAGAATATTAATGAACAGGCATTAGGTGCCTCTAGAAACAACAAAAGTCATATAGATTGGACAGGAATAAAGTCAGGCCTTCATCTAGTTTAAATCACAGCCTTCATAAAAGGTTTAACTTTTTTTTTTTTTTTTTTTTTTTTTTGGTTTTTTTCTCCGGTACCGGGAACCGAACTCACGACCTTGCGTTTGCCAGGCAGGCGCTTTTGCCGCTGAGCTAAATCCCCAGCCCCAGGTTTAACATCTTTAGCTGTGAATTTTTTGTAGACTTTATAAGCCTAGGAGATAGTGCTAAATCAGTTTTTGCAAATATTTAAGAGAATGCTGTGTTCTATTTTAGGGCTGTGCTGTGCAGTCTCTCATGGAACAAATCTCAAGATTAAAATTTGTGGTCTTTAAAATTGTGTGGTTATAATACCCAAGCACCTGAGAAGCTTATTCTAAATTGAGGAAGCTTATTTTAGAGAACAATGAGCATGGATGTTAAATTAATAATAAAAGCATTTTATTTTTCTACACTTGATCTTAGCCAAAAGGCCTAGAAGCAATGCATTTTAATTTTGAGAAAGCTTATATTAAGGGTTTTTTTTTTTTTTTTTTTTTTGAGAACAATTTTAGATCCCTCTGAACTTACAGTATTGTTAGGAAAGAAGCTGTAAAAACAATTTTCTATTATAATTTTCTTTTCAAATATAACTAGGACCATAGTGATCTATCATGGGACTTCCATGTATGTGACTCATCTTGCTTCTCAGGCAGCTCATAATTTAATTACAGGATAAAATTTGAAAAGCTCATGTATGAGCAATAAAGGAAATTCAAGTCAAAAATCTTTGCTCTCAGTGCAATAAAGCCAACTTTGGATGAAAAGTAAGCCGTATACTTCTTAAAATGACTTTTCTTAAATGTAAGCACAGTGATCTCTTAAGATTTAGCTTTAGAAGCAACGTTTTCATGTAGTCTCTTCCTGGTGCTTCCTCATCAGAACCAGTGAAAAGTTAAGAAAAGTTGAACAGCATTAGTGCATGAGCAGGAAGCATGGGTTTTAGGATAGATTATTTTCAGTCTCATCTTCAGACCGTCCAGAATGGATATTAAAAATCTTTTACATTTGGGCCATCCTTTTCCATAGCATCTCTCACGAGGACACTTACTCTCTCCAAAACAGGAAGGATCATTTGTCTTGTTCAAGGAAGCACTCATCATGCTTAAAGGTGTTCTCCCCCGATCTACTCAGAAGGACAACAAAGGTTGTGGGATACAGTGGTACACACCTGTAACCTTAGCCCTCAGGAGGCTGAGGCAGGTGGAATGAGGCCAGCCTGGGCTACATAGTGCATTCGAGATCAGCCTGAACTGTATAGTGAGACCCTGTGTGTGTGTGTGTGTGTGTGTGGTATTCCAAGTATTTAATGTCGTGGATTAATAAATGTTGAGGAATTCTTTGAAGGCCTTGAGCAGGTAGAGTGAAATGTGTATTTGGCTTCAGAGACCTCCCAAAGATTGGTGAGAAAGGATCAAGAAGTTCTAGACAAGATAAAAAATGGGCAAGGTCAATCACTATTTTTCATGCTAAGGAGTATGCAGAAGGTGCGTCTGGTTTAAAGGAAGGACGGTGAGCATGGATGTTAAACTGAGTAAAAACCAACAGAGCCTTATTGAGCTAGCATGGTCTGCCCAGTTACATGTCTTTTGCTCTGCCTACCCTTACTGCAAATAATTTGCAGTAAACAGGTAACACTCTTCAGCTCATACTGTGAAGAAAAACAAGATAGTTGAACATCAAGGACAGGAAGAGAGTCCCCAAATAGAAACATCAGTTTCTAAAGACATCAGTGCTAAAAGTGCTATCTTTGAGATAAGTGAAGATACTGGGTTTATGAAGAAAGACATTGTCGGTGGTGGTGGCACATGGCTGTGCCACGTGGGAGGCTGACAAAACCATCACTGCCAGATTGAGGTCACCTTGGGCTAGTTGGAGACCAACAGGAACTAAACAGTGACAGCCAGTCTCAAAGCAAGATGTTACATAAGGGTGTAAAGGTTTAATTGGTGTAGGGGGGTTTGTTTTGTTTGGTGCTGGGGACCAAACCAGTGATCTTACAAATGATAAGCAAGTGTTCTACCACTGAGCCACTTCACCAACCCGTAAATTTATAATGTGAAATAGACTTTCAAATTCAGCTGGGCAGAAGAGTAGGAGGAAGACATTTAAAGGACAAATCAGCAAGCTCTTTAGATTGAATTATGTAATCAAACATAAACTTCAATGAGACAAAAGTATTCTGGCATGAATCTTCAAAGGAAAAAAAATATGGTATGAATGGAAAGTATGCAAGAGTTAAAGCACAATATAGGACTTCAGTCTGAATAGGTCCATCAAGTGCTGTGCGGGATGGACAACTGGTGGTCAACTTGTAACACCCAGCTGAACTTAAGCAGCATGGTGCTGGGTGTGAGAGGTTGACCTGAGGATTGTTGCCAGCAGTATAAGAGACAGATCTGGAAAAGAAAAGAGGCTGTTGGGAGCTGAGAAAAGCTGGGTGCTGTTAGAAGCTATAAGGAGCTGTTGGTTCTCTTGGAGGACTTGGTCATGCTGGCTTTCCTGATGAACTTGGCTGTTCCCATTGTCCAAGGAGATCAGGACCTTGCTGTCACTGAGAATGGCTTTGGTTGACCTTGATCCTCACTTTGAGCATTGCTTCCTGGCTCCAGAGGGGAAAATGGTGCACTGCTCAGTCTCCTGGAGAAGCTTGTCATGTTGGCTCTCCTGATGGAAACTCTGCCTTTCTCATCGTTGGAAGAGCTTGGGACCTCACCCTTGCTGAGGATAGCTGTGGTACCTTTCCAGGGAGCTCTGGTTCTTACTTTGAGCATCGCTTCCTGGCTCCAGTGCACATCCCTCAGCTTGCTAGCACAGATCCTTCATGTCACTGGCACAGACAACTTGAGACATTGTCATGGGCTCCTGGCCTCCAGTTGGACTCGTGGGAGACATTGTTATGAGCTCTAAGTCTTTAGCTGGACTCATGCAGGACATTGACATGGGATCCAGGCCCTAAGCTGGATTCTTTGGTCTTTAGTGTGTGAACAAATTTCCTGCACCCTCTTTGTATATGATTCTTTGGGTAACTATTATAAATAATCTTATGTTATTGTTCCCCTCTGCAGAAACCCCAAACCAACACAAGTACTGAAGAAAAAGTGCCCACAAACATTACTTCTAGATTTATAGTATCTTTATGATAGTATGAATAATAACCTAAAAAGTTCTAAAACATGAAGGAAGTGATTGCAAAGCAGGCAAAATCAGATTGACATTAGAACTGTTACCCAGAGCCAGTGATACTGCTCAGTGGCACAGCACCTACCTTGCAAACGCAAGGTCCTGAGTTTGATTCCTGGCACCAAAAACACAAAACAAAACAAAAACTTTGTCACCCAAAACTTTGGATGCAGGGTGGTAACGTCAAAATTGCAAATTATTGAACAGCAAACTAGAGACAGTTTTAGGAACTCAAGGACTCGAAATATGTCTTCCTCTAAAAGCAAGGACATTTTTCCAACAAAAGTAGATTTGAGATGCAAGAAACAATATTCATCAAGAAAATGTAGTGGAGCAGAAATACATTAGTATTGAAAGTAAAAATGAAAATAAAATACTAATGACTTCTATAGATGAGAAGAGTATTTTTCTGTAAGAAACCATGCATATAGGTTAATTAAAACTATAGAAAAATATGAGTTGGAATTTAATTGGTAATTACAGAAAGAGTAGTAGTGTCTGTGGTTTTTGAGGCAGGAGACTCGTGGGAAACCTGGCTGGGGAAGTAAGCATGACCTATTAATTACAAAACCCTAGGACACATGCAGAATAGTTCCCAAAGCCCTGCATGTACGTGGGTGTCTAGAGAGAACTCACAGGTTTTAGATAGGATGGCCAAGACCTGATGTCATCCTGAAGAGTGGGTGATACAAAAATATAATCAACGTTGAGCTTTTTGCTGCTGTGCTCTCTTGCACAGTGGTCAACTTCCATGCTGTCTATTGTGCTTGTCTTATACTTGGCCCAGACTCACTCTGCAGAGCATGTTTCTGCTCCCACCTTTATTGCTTTAACCATATGGTATTTCAGTGCCTCTTTTTCTGCCTTTAATAAATGTAAAATCTCACTACCATTTGCATTTGTCTTGACCAATTCTTTGTTCAGAACAGAAAAGACCTGGAAACCACCTCTAGAAGGAGACTCCAGCACCCAAAACCTGGTAACATATTTGGTGAGCCAGCCAAGAGGTAAGGCCTTTGGGGCATGTTTTTTGTTGTTCCTCTTTCTCTAAAATTTACCACCAAGAAGGCTTTCCTTTTT